CCCAGTCTAAGATCTTCTTTTGAAGGTTGTATAGCTTGAAGATGTCATCAGCGAATTCTTTTTGAAGGCATCTGACCTCATCAATTTCTTGACGGCAGTAATCTCTCTCTCTCTTCGTTTTCTTGATCAGCTGCAATATCGGTCCTCAGCAGCCTGTTTGAGGTCAAATAGCTTTGACGAGCAACGGCGACGGAAGGCGTTGTAGGTATCGTCGTTTAGATGACACTTTCGCGTGTCTCGAGGCCAGAAGAGCAGCAACAACGAACAACGCAGTCGCTAAGACGCATGACTGACGATAGAAGGTATCAGAGGTTTTTACGCGATCAAGCTGAGTTTGAGCGCTTTGAGTGTTTTCGAGGAATGAAACGTGCATCCGAGACTGAAAGCATCATGCGTTTCGGAAGTACCAAAATCCAAACTTGGATTATGGTAGTTCCGAAATGCATAATCATTTTGGCTTTAAAAGCAATTACTTGAATCGTACTTTTTTTTACTTAACCCTTGCAGCAGCATTGGTACGAAGTGTAGATAAAATCGTGCAGTCCTAGATAGCATTAATAGTACTACTCCAAAAAAAAAAAAAAAAAACGGCTTGATTACCAGGCGAAAAAAAGCTTAATTCTGAGCGACATTGGCGGAATTCTGAGTGGGGTACATTCGAAATCGGCGAGGCATTTCGACTGAATATGAGTTCTTCATTAGGAACGCAGTAGATGAGAATAAGAATCTATATATTCAACACCAATCCCCGTCTCGGGAGCAAATTTGCTCAATTCGGTGCCATTCCACGTGCTGTTGGCGAAATGGATGGTTATTGGATTTATCAGGATGTGTTGATCCGTCGGATAGTTCCACGACCACCTATAAACATTTGGTGGGTCAGTCACATATTAACTATGTCAATCAAACCCGGATATCCTCATTTGAAGACCCACTACGAAAATCATTTTTCGACGTTAAGGATTAGGAGATCAAACACTACTTCTTTTCTAAACGGAATTACACTTGAGTTGGGACCAAGATATCATGTCAGGCGGGTATAATCTAATTAGTCTTTCGTGCAACATACCACGCAATAACAGACGGACTTAACCGAAAGGGCGGCGATCATTTGTATAGTTCTCTGGATTTTATATCCAGAGTTTTAGAAGGCTCAAAACTTAAATAAAGTTACTTGAGAACTTGATACACCTGTTATATGAGATCTAGGTTGTATTGTCGTACCCGGTTTTCTCTCCTGAACCTCAATAACATGTCATTGCAGCTTATAAGGCATCCATACTTTATAACAAGTAGATTCGCGATGTATATCTGATATCCTTTTTTGCACAAGTAATCCCACCATGGTGCATGTTGCTTGTGGCGGTCAAGCGTAATATCACGGTAAATTACGACGAGCCGAAGTAATTTTAATCCGTGTGAATGTTGCCCGAACAGACTTCAGCTTACGCCAGAGTGCAGATGATGCAGATGATGCAGCTGAGGAGCACAGTACAGTTGCTTTGTACTGCTAGAACAACGCGCCCGAATATTGGAAAGCGAATTGCGAAGCAACCATGCACAAAGGACAGAGCTGTGTAAAATTCAGAACTTCTCCGTGTAAAACACGGCTTTGTTTAGTAACCTGCCACATGTATCGATGTTCACAACCACCACTGTACTCTATGCTGCAAATTTCCATTAAAAATTATGGTTGTTACTGGATATAAATAGACGGTTGTTATTTCCGGAAATGAAACACCAATCGGATCCCTCCTTCACAAAGTTTCGGATAATAGCT